ACATTTTACATAATTGCAGAAAGAGCTTACTAAAATATAAAATTTTACTAAGAAAACAATATGAAACACGTAAGATTTACACGTTGTATTTTTAATTCCACGATAAATCAATATTTCATTTATGAATGACAAAGACACGTGTTTCGTCTTCACATCTTAGACACGTGTTTTTCACAAATTGCAACAGCAAACCAAAATGACGAGGATATCTTGTTGCGTTGTAACAGAAGATGCTTCGAAGCATAAAGAGAATGTAGTTAAGTATGCTTAGGGAGTAAAGCATTTCGGTAACTAAAAAAATATAATTATCTGAAATATTATGAAATATGTAATACTTTTAAATATTATGACATTACATTCTTAAGTTGTGTTCTTAATCAAACACTTTTATCTACCTGCTAGTTCGGATATGAAAGGCTAGCTAAAATTGCATACACATAAATGCAAAAAGTACACGTTACATAACACTTGACACCGAAAAGAACGAGTTGAAGATTAACATATTCAATTAATACTTATAATTTCTCCTTGCGTTTGTAGAGGTATGAGACTTTAATTGTCCTCGATCTCTAAACTTCTGCTTTGTAATATCGTTCATTTAATCGTGCATCCTTACCAGAAGAGATATTAATTAGGTAAAAGATAAATTAAGATATTCTAAAAGATATTAACAAAGAAAGATCATAAAAAAAGATATATTTCCTTCGTTCCGTGTGTAGAAAGTTTTTTGTCTCCGCATTCTGTAAAATTGTTTTACTAATGTGTTTCAGTCTCGCAGGTATCAAAGCAACTGGAAAATAAGATCTGTGGCGTTACTTTACAAAAACCTGCTCCAGTTTATACGTCATCCTGGGTAAGTATTTGCGACATTTGGTTATTAACACGTTAATAAATATTCTAGATAAAATATTTGCGTATATAGAGGTTGTCCTGGATTTGAATGTTAACTAATATTCTTGCAAAATTATGCAAGAATTCGATCGCAAATGTGTTAAAAAACGGATGCGTTTGCGAATAACGAAATTATTTGTAAATAATATTTTCATTGTAACTTTCATAAAAGTCAAACATCCCGTCCAATAGAGAAAGATTTTATACGTATATGAATTCGTGTGGCAGCCAATTTGTTAACAAATACCGAGAAATAAAGTTAAACAAATTCGATTGCTTTATCTGTTCTTAGGGGATTCTTATTTTCAATTGTCTTGCCGTTCTTACAAGTGACGCTATTCTTTAATACGATCGGTCCGGAGCCGAAAGATCTGAAACTGTACATAGTGAACGACGAGGCTGGCAAATGTCACGGGCAGAAGTATTTGGGAAACATTACGTACTATAAGGAAGATCGGACATGCAAATTCATCGATCTCAGCTGCAGGTTCATAGCTGGAATAGACGAGAAAGTTTTGAAAAAGGTACAAGAGAAATATAGAAGAAAAACTATTATTATAATTCTTACTGAGCCTCTCTCAATTCTTATATTTATAATAAACGTATTTAAGGCCAAATTGTGTCCCTTTGAATGTTCACTGAAATCACTATTCAATATTGGAACAATCTTTTCTCGTCGAACAAAATCCATCGCCGCTACAAAACTAAAAATTATTGTATTTAAGAAGATATTGTGATATATTGGAAAATTAATAACCGATTTGATGAAATGAGACTGATGCATGATTTTATTTGATTTTCAGAAATTCTACGATAATTACACGCAGGCGAAAAACAGGTTGGACGACAAGCACAACGCCGTTGGAATAATGCATTTCAGAAAGAATTTTTCACTCGCCATGGAGGAGAAGATAGAAAACATGGTTAGGATGTCTGACGATGATCTTACTTCGGCGGCTGCGATCTACGTAACGCTGCACACACCAAGTATGTGATAACAATATAATGATCATCGCGGATGTTTATGCGCAAAAATACATATAACGTGTATAATATGAAATATAATATTAATATATGATGACATGAAACAGTATTTTAAACGTGTGTTGTAATATAAATTAAATTATAAATAACTTTATCACCCGTACAGACTTCGTACAATTCAAGTAATACTATAACGAGTTAACTATTCCAAGAAACAGAAAGTCTGCAGTCTAATTATAAAATTAATATTGTTCCGTGTGATCATCTTCCCATGGTTTTGATCGACGTTTCAGACAGGGAGATCGCCTTATTTGCAACACAAAAATTGTACAAGATGTTCAACGATGACTTTGAAAAAATTGTAGAAGAATGCGGAGTGAATAAAAAATACGCGCATTTGCCGATAAAGGTACGTATCTAAAAGTATCTAAAAAGATCAATATTCAATTTCCATAAGATACCAGGCTATACTGCATATGTGTTTTGATGTTGCAGTTCGAAAAACCGATTTACGGCAAGGAGGATGAAAATTACGCAGAATATGTCATCCCGGTGTTCCTGCTAACGTAAGTCTTCTCATTTCCTTCTTTTCTTTGAAATTATAATTTTCCGTGGGAGTATAATATGCTCGTCATCGCTGCGAATAAATTCTGTTTCTTTAGATTGCTGTTTTTCTTGCCAACGTCTGTTTCTTCAAGTACAATTATCACCGATCGCGATTCTGGCATATGGAATAGAATCTTAGTTCAAGGTGAGGTTTTAAATTTATCATAAATCTTTTTATCAACAATAGGAGGTTGTCGAATACCATTTATTCAAGATTAATTTCAATGATAAGTGTTAGTGAATTCCAATGTTAATAAATTCTAAACGTTGAAGAACTTATAAAACTGACATAATAATCTCGATTTATCTCTTCTTCTCTATACGCTTTTTACATTATATCACCTTGACCATAATAATTTGTAATTTTAATAAGTTCGTTCCTTTATTGAATAATACCGCGTTTACAATACAACATGACTTTATTATGTAACGTTATTATACGTACAGAAATGTAAAATAACTTTTGTGTAAAGAGCTAAGTGTGAATTATCAAATCACTGCAATTATAAAAACATGAAATAGTTAAAAGTAATTTGATACAAGAAAAGAGATTTATTACTATTAAATATTTTGAACAGATACTAAAATATTCGGATAATGGAACTTCGGATGTGGAAGGCTAGTATTAATTTAGAATAATAAATGATTTTCATTATAAACTAATTATAAATTAGATCATTATAAACTAATTAAGTATTATTAGATGACTTGCGTATTACTGATATTTGAACGACCAGTCGCGAAAATGCAATGCTAGTCGTTCAATAATTATTTTAATTGACTCATTTGAATTCAATATGAAACAGGTATCACTACAGCAGAGATCTTGATTACTCATCTGATATCGCAGTTTATAATAATCGTGATCCAAGTGTCGGTGGCGTTGATTCTTAGCTTTGGACACTACGATATGGATTGCGAGGGATCAATGTTTGGGATCGTTGCGATAAGTATACTTTCAGCACTGTGCGGAATGGTATACGGTAAGTATTCGAATGCAAAACGCATCTTATATAATTACATGCAATCTAAATTCAATGCAACTTGAATTGACAATATCTTGTCGTAAAATATCTTCAATGTGAAAAATTAAACTTAAACTCAACATGGCTTGAATCAATAATCTTGCGACAAAGTACTTTCGTAGTAAAATATTAAATTGAAATTAAAGACTAAAATTCAACACGATTCGAATTAACAATTCTATGCTGAGATATTTTTTATAGTAAAAAAATCGTTCGTAGGATTCTTCATATCAATATCGTGCACTTCTCACGTTTTGGCAAATTATGCGACATTAGGATCATTTTATCCGTTGGTTCTTCTTTGTGGTAAGTAATTAAATGCATGTTGGAATTAATTATTATTAACTAATATTCAGTTTCATTTCCATGATCAAGCGAATATAGATGATTCTATCAAAATAAACATATAGAAATAATACATTTCTGTAATGATACCAAGGATTAATTACACGTTAATTAACCGCGTGCGAACAATAACTTCGATCCTTCGATCCTTCGATCCTTCGTGAGAGATATCACATCATTTCCAGTTAAACATCCCATATAACATTTTTCTCTTATTTTTAATTATAAAATTATAATCCTTTATTCGGAATACTTATTCAAAATATTTTTACATTTTCAAGGAATGATATGGCCGATCGAGGGAATGCCAAAGGTTCTTAAATGGTTCAGTTTAATGTTGCCTATGACAGTACCAGGTAACACACTGAGAGAAATCATGCACAAAGGAACTGACTTCCACGATCCGGACGTGTACTCAGGATTTCTAGTGATCAGTGCATGGATTTTGGGACTTCTAGTTATTTCTCTGTTTCAATTAAAAAGATCAGGTTAAAACTGATGCTGGAAAAGGACGTTAAATCGAATGATGAATCCCGCGCTTTCACAAGTTTCATAGGGTTGTCCTCTTTGAAATTTATTAATTAAAAAGATTAATTAATTATTGCGTTAGTTTGTAGCTGTATAGTTAGTTTGTATCTGTGTATATAGTAGTGATTACATGAAAATGCAACGAAAATGGTACAACTCAAGAAAAAAAAAAAAAAAAAAAAAAA